GTTTTATTCTTGCCTCATTAGTGTTTAATTATTACTTTATATTATGTTTTGTATATAGTTCAAGATGAAGCTACATTAAGCCCGGCAGATAGTGATAGTTGGTTAAATGTGAATCCGGAGCAACTGGAAGCGTTCTTAAATGAACAGTGGGGAAATGTTAAAAGCAAGAAACACGAATCAGAATCATTAAGTCTTAAGGAAAAAGTACAAATGTTCTTGAACCAAAATAGTGACGTTGATGGTGTACAATTCTTAGAGTACGTTATATATTTTTAAATTCTAGTAACAATGCTTCAAAGAATACAATTTATGTATTTTCTTCTTTAGAGGTCACTCAGCAGAAATGGATTTGCATGATGCAGAAGACAATGGAAGAGTTGAATTTGATTCGGATATATTTGACTCTACATTACGAGGTATACTAGATTTAGTCGTTCCAGGAAATGAAGGGGAATTTGATGGTAGCTCTGAAGGATCTTTGGGTGAGGAGGATGAAGATAAAAGAAATGAAATGGACAAATATATGCGATTGTTAAATTCAGAACTAAAATCTGGAATGGAAACGAATGACAATTCTGAAGGGAATAAAGATGCTAATGTGATAGAAGATAATTTAATAAAAAGTATATCAGAAGAAGCTGGTGGTTCAGGACCAACTGGAAATATAATAGGTGGACCTGCTCGACGACTTATGCATTTGCAATTACAATCACCTACTACAGTACCTCCAGATTTGCAAAGTTAATGACTTTTCTATCAGGATATGTCAATAATTATTAGATTAAAATCTCATCAGTCTTATATGAATTATTAGCGTCTAGTATTTCAAGAATAGTATCTTTATTGTAGATAAGTAAAAGTTTATCGTTCATCTACGTACGAACGTAGTAGAACCAACTAGTAATTTAAATATTTTATTTACACGTGTAAGGTATTATATTACATTTACATTTTCTACTGATTTTAACTTTTTTATTCATATTTCAATCTTTATTGTATAAAATATTAATTACAATATTAAAAGTAATAGACAAATACATACACGTGTTTGAG